GTCCTTGGGTGGTGTTGGGGGTCCCTCAGGGTTTTGGGGGATCCCTGGGTAGGGTCAGGGATCCCCAAGGATGGTTTGGGGGGGGTCCTGTGAGGGGTCACTGGGTGTTGGGTTTGGGGGTGGTTTGGGACCACAGGGCTTGGAGGGTCCCAGGGGAGTTTTGGGGACCCCCTGGGGTTATTGGGGGGGGCCCTAACCCCAATCCCACCCCCCAAACCCCAATTCCTCCCTCCCTTGCGGCAGCTCTTGGATCCGGAGCCGTCGGAGCCGATGGCGGCCGAGACCTACGGGAACTTCGACACTCAGGTGAGGGGGGGGCAGGGCAGATTTTGGGGTGTCTCGGGGGGTATTTGGGGGTGTCTGAGCCCCCCCTGTGCCCCCCAGTCCCGCCGCTATTACTACCTGAGCCAGGAGCCCCCCGAGGAGGGGTCGGGGCAGCGCTGCCGTGAGCTGGAGCAGCAGGTGAGGCCCAGAATCACCTGGGGGGGACCCCCAAATCCTGAGTGCCCCCAAATTTCCACCCGGGAGGCGAGCGGGAGGGGACCCTGCACACCTGAGAGACACCCTGCACACCTGGGAGAGGACCCTGCACAGCTGGGAGGGATCCTGCACATCTGGGAGACACCCTGCACACCTGGGAGGGACCCTGCACACCTGGGCCCCTTCCTATAACACCTGGGAGGGTCCCTGCATACCTGGGAGGCATCCTGCACACCTGGGAGGCATCCTGCACACCTGGGAGGGATCCTGCACATCTGGGAGACACCCTGCACATCTGGGAGGGACCCTGCACACTTGGGAGGGTTCCTGCACACTTGGGAGGGTTCCTGCACACCTGGGAGACACCCTGCACACCTGGACCCCTTCCTGCACACCTGAGAGGGTCCCTGCACACCTGGGAGACACCCTACACACCTGGACCCCTTCCTGCACACCTGGGAGAGTCCCTGCACACCTGGGAGGGTCCCTGCACACCTGGGTGGGATGCTGCACACCTGGGAGGGATCCTTCACACCTGGGCCCCTTCCAGCACACCTGGGAGACACCCTACACACCTGGGCCCCTTCCTACACACCTCGGAGGAACCCTGCACACCTGGGTGGGTCCCTGCACACCTGGGGGAGATCCTGCACACCTGGAGCCCTTCCTACACACCTGGGAGGGGCCCTGCACACCTGGACTCCCCCCAGATTCCCCCTGCTCGGTCAAGAACACCCCAGGCTCAACGGGAAAGGCTCCTCGAGCCATCGGTGGGCAGGGTGGGGACACCTGGCAGGGGATCCCACACCCCTGGGCGCCGCAGGTGGCCACGCTGCAGGAGGAGAAGGGGCACCTGGCCGCCGAGAACCGCGCGCTGCGGGAGCAGCTCGAGCGCGACGCCGCC